TGTGTGAAAATAACCAACAGTCCACAGAGATGGGCTTGGAGGGCTTTCTTTCCTAAACTTGGAAAAGAAGTATTTTGAACAGATTGATTGCGGGCAAGGGTCAGTAAGTACAGTGATGTAATAAATTATCCTCCGTTAGAGTGTGAACCTGTGTCTCATGAGGGCTTCAAGAAGTTTAGCCCAGAAATATGGCGTAATCAGATAAGCTGTTGTGGCATTGTTAGTTTCATTTAGAAAGTCTTAGAATAGAGGCGTAAGAGAAGACCATTCAAGTTTTACCTTCAACATGTCTTTTGACTATTAAATATTCTTTCCCCAAAGTCCTCACTAAATTTTTGCTAACATAATTTTAAGCATGGCTTTATGAAATACTTATGACCATCCCTTTGATGCATTCACTGGAAGTAGCAAATGTGGAATCACTGCAGTGAGTATAGCAGTAAGTTGGGCAATTTAATTTTCATTTTTAGCATTTAGACAGCTAATGCAAACCAGGAAAACGACGCTAACGAAGCAAACTCAGAATTCGTTAATATGAAATAAGCCCAGATTTCTCTCCCATTTGAGAATTAGATGCTCAGAAGAACGATACTTTTAGCTGGAGCTAATCTGGAGGAATCACATTTGTATCAAAAATTCAAAGCAACCTAATGAGAAAAGAACATTGGGAAGAGTGCCCTGCCTAAGCTCAAAGGCTCTCTCAGTTCCTTGCAGTTCCCAGTGAGACTCTTGTAACCTGAGCTCATCAGCAGTGAGCACTGACAGGGTACTGTCCTTGGCACTTTTCACTTCCTAAATGGAGAGAAAGAAGCTGTCTGTGAAAGACATGAATTAGTAGAGTTGAGATTTACAGATAAAAATATTTCAAGAAACCTTCACTGTGGAAATCAGCCATTTTGTATATATTTTTTTCCTCTTGGTAACCATGTTGATCCGAAAGAGGAAGAAGGATTAAAAGAATACTAAGGAAATGTTTTGCCATTGTTGGGAAGGCTTAGAACTCTGTAATTTCTTATTTAGCAGAAAAATTACATTTTACTATGGTTTTTCATGAACACAAAGGAAGAAGCAAATTAGAAAAGATCGTTTTGTGTCTTTCCTTTCATCTTTATTTTTTTGTTGTTATTTTCTAGGAAATCATCGTAAAAATTATAACCAAAAAACTGGGTGACAAATATCACAAGAAAAAGGGTATCGTTAAGGTAAGGACATGCAGTTTTGAATGGAATTTGTGAAAAAAGCAGTGGGTAATCCAGCGAAGCTATTTTGGTGTTTCTCGGAGATCAAGTCCTAGAAGCAGAAGTACTGTCTAAAGTCCTTGATTGTTCCGTAAAATGGAGGTCGAATTCATGATTGTTGTAGAAATATTTCTTTTCCAGCCAGAGTTGGTCTATTTTCTTACTGGGGCGAGTAATAGGTATGAAATCCCATTGGCAGCTCTAAAAAACTCAGCGTGCGTGCCTTGTTAATCAGTAAAATATATTCTTTTTAAGTGAAGGGGCAGTATGATCATCCGTCCCAGAGGTCCTGTCTTTTGGCTGCTCTGGGATTATAAAATTTGCGTCAACATTCTAGTCTTTCTCTCCCTTTTGCTTTTCCCAAATATAGTTTGATTCTAGCACCCAGCCTTCTGCATGCCTAGATTGCTCTTCCACTGTACTTGAAAACAGGCAAAATGACCCCTTTCTAGATTTCTTACACTCTTATTCTAAGATCACTAGTCTCTTACTCTTTCCAGATGGAAAGCTTAACTAAGCTTTGAATTGAGTTCTTTCTGGAGAACCAAAGACTGAGAAATCATATGTGGAATGTAGAAAATAGTGTCATCTAAAGGAGTCACTCTTATCTTTTGATTGGAATTTCATTCATTTTCATTTTATATACTTTTATCCTTTTAAACGAATGTTCACGTATTTTGTTATAAAAGTGTTCGTTTTGCATGACAGGAAGTAATTGACAAATACACAGCTGTGGTCAAGATGATTGATTCGGGAGACAAGCTGAAACTTGACCAGACTCATTTAGAGACAGTGATTCCAGCACCAGGTAAATCTGTTTGCAGACCACCTAATACATGTGCCATCAAAATGCGCGATCCCACTCTTAAAACTGTAGTTTTCTTTCTTTTGACATTACTTGACGGTGATAGATTTGTTTCCATTTCAGAAATATTAACTGCTAATATAACTCTTCCCTATTTGACTTCAAGTGGTGTACTAGTTTACCAGTCCTCTGATCAAGCTATTTGATGGCATGAATGGATTTTCTCTTCCCAGAATACATATTTTTTCTGAAGCAAAACACAGACATATATGGATAGAATTAATCATATGAGGCTTGTTATTACAGGTTGAATATATTTTATCCCAAATGCCTGGGTCTAAAAGTGTTTCAGATTTTGGAGATTCTGGGATTTTGGAATATTTGCATATACATAATTGTATATCTTGGGGATGGGAACCCAAGTCTTAACATGAAATTCATTTATGTTTTATATACA